CAATTTTATGACTTTGTTGACAAAAGTAGGTTTTAAGTAGTATTGCCCTCCTGATACTGGGAACAGTGTTAGGAGTGACTCCCACGCTGGTGTAGAATCTACGTTTCCCCTGTAATAATATGTAGATCTCAGAGAAAAGAGAGCCTTGCTTATGTCTTTTAACGGTTGTTTACAGATAAATATATCTTGAAAAAAGATTGACTTTGCCACTTTGCTTTTATTGACAACCCCTATCGCATCATCGCCGAACGGAACAGCTGTGTTTTCAAATTGGCTGGCGTGTACTTCGAGTTATGGGTCCTAATATCGTCAGGTTGAATAAGGGTTGACCGGCAAGGCTCAGATATATACTTCAGAATCACAGGTCGATCTGTTTGATATGGGATCTGGTAACGGGTTTCAGGATTATGACACTGGGGAGAAAGCCCTGTTCTGCAATCGAGAATTATAAGTAGCTACCTCGTTTAGTGCTTGCGTAAGATCAGTCCTAACGGATTCTAAAGGTCTCCAATCAGGGTGTTACATGGCAGAAAAGATATATAGGTCGAGGAACAATTTGTTGACAAACTGACGATAGCCGAATTGCTGAAATGCTAACTGGGTACGAAATAACAAAAACGGTATTTGATAGGTGGCGACAAAAAAAACTAAGTCAAAAATATCGGAACGTAAAATAAGACTGGTACAAAAATCGAACAAAAAATCGGTACGATATCAGAAAAGGTTATAAGACAACGGCATGGAACGGAAAAGATAGTCCTAAACTATGCGGAAAATGCGACGAAATGACTTATTGCTTGGCGACATGCGACGGCGAACGGATACGAGAACTCTGAAAATCGAAAAAAAACGGGAGAACGACAATTAAAACAACCCAGGTTCGGGTTGGGTCTTTACAGGCGTAGTTCACAATGATCAGCCCTAAAGATGATTCCAGAGGAGTGCGCTCAATACATCTGCCAATTTGAAACCGTTGCCTGCTTGCTGAATCGAGAGTACAATCCAACGGCGCAAGAGACGCTATTTTATCTAAATTTAAGCGCAGATTTGGAGTTTTTTGCACCGGTGGTTGAGTGCCTAACGCTGTCTGCCTATTTACGAAATAATATCAGGATGCCAAAAGGTTGACAAATGTGTCCACGGCTAACACCAAAGATCTTCAAATTAAAAACACAGCTTTGCCTGTGATCCCTAAATGGATCACGTGGTGGATGTATCTACAAGTGTTAAGGCTGAGAAGGTTTAACCCTAACGGCTGCGATCTTCCAGGCCCGGTTCCTCAGGAGTGGAGAGAAGACGGTGGGAAAGCCAGATTGTAATGAATAGTGTATTCTGAAGAAGGATAGGAGAATAGATGGAAAGAGTTTTGACTCGCGAACTAGTGCATCCGTTCCGGGTCGGGTCCGGAGTGATTCCTGAAATCAGACACCGCATTGTCGTCTTTGTCCCATGGATTGAGGCCAACCTACTAAATGAGGTCAGTCTACTAAAGCAGGAATCTCATTGGACGGATCGATGTCAAGCCACTGAGGGTTGAGGCCAGAATGGGGGAGATATGATGCACGCGTTTGGGTGCGCGCCAGTTGCGTCTGGCAGCAGTGGTGGTCGCCTGCCCGTTTGCGCATGCCTCGAGGCACGTAGGAAAACTGTTTTCGCGCGAGGTCCTATGCTCTAAGCGACCTTGTCTGTGGCGTCAAGAGTTAGGAGGGCGTCGGACAGACACGACCACTACAGATGTGCTGGACCAACACGGAAGCTAGATCAATGTATGGCATGCGGCTTCGGCCGCTCCAGTTACTTACATCCGATCCCGCCTCCGGTTTCCTTGACTAGGTCTTGACGCCGAGCACAGGTGAGTGAGGGGAGAGGGAGTGCGGTAGATTCCGCGCAAGTATACTGTCACTAACTCACGCGCAAGTCACCGCCCCTGCGCTGCCATGTTTTGGAGCATACAGTGGACATCACACAATCAATAGTCTTACTCTCGGTAGTACTTTCTACTTGTTACGGCTGTGCTCATGTCTGATCTAGCCGGTCTCAATGATGTCACGGACGGTACCTCTCCAGGCGTGATGGTTAGCGGCCGCATACTATTCGCCCGCACCGCTGGACAAGGGTTGCGAGCGCTTCGGTTCCCGTAGGCGTCGTATCATGGGTCGTAGTATCGTAAGATGACATATGCATGAGTCTTCTTGGGGTTGTTGAATACATGCGGGCCCCCAACAGCCGCTCGGATTCTTTTTTGTGGTTGTCTCCTTTAGCACTTTGGTTCGAGAGCCTAACCACAAGGCAGTGGCAGCAAGTGAACCTTATTAATGGTGGTTCACACTCGCCACGTCACAGTGCCGTCATTGGGACTTGCGACATTTTTAAGGCAGCCGGTG